CTTTTTCACTATTTTATATTTATTCCTTTCTCTTCCGTAGCTGGTGTTTGGAAAACTTATTAATACGGTTCATTACAGACACACGAATTCTCAGAATTGATTTTTTTATCCGTCCTAGATTAAGAACAAATTTAATAACCTGCAGCACTATACAGGTAAACAAATTGAAAAAAATATATGTTTTTTTTTTAAATCCCCAAAAGACATCAAATTATTACATAATATATACCTACCTATATTCATCTTTATCTTATTAGTCATTACCTACCGATGACCTGAAGAACATTTGAAAATACTTTCCAGTTTCCGGGGAAACTTATTTGAATTTTTTAGTACCTATAAATCTAACTATAAAGGACAATTTGTAAATTGTTATTTGGAGTTTTAATTGTTGTAGACAAAATTATATTATAATACAAGTTTGTTTCAATTTATGTAAACATTCATACATTAAAAACACATTAGTTAAAAACTATTGTTTGTGGTATTGTTGAATCATATTATGAAATTATTCAAGAGTTTGTTTTGGTTTGTTTTAGAATGACTAGAAATACCTATGTTGTATAGGTGCTATCATATAAATATAACAAAATATAATACATAAATGAAATAAAAAAAAATTGTAATCATTTTATTAAATCTTCAAAATATTTATCAGACATAAAATTGAGTTTATTTGAAAAAGCATAAGTAAAATATACTTACACATATTTTACTTTTTACTACAATTTCCTAAATTTTATTTACACATAAAATGTTGTATAGAATAATAATTAATCAAAAACTTCAGTAAAGTAACTTGGTATTCATATTTTTTAAGCTAAATAGTTAATTATTCTTTGATGTTTTATTATAGTTCATAGTTTATTCATGATTGGTGTGGTCCGATATAATAATTTATATTTAATAATATTATGTATTAAAAACATAATTATTTATGTAAATATTATGGGTTGAGATTTTATTTTTAAACTTTTAAAACAATAAATTACAAATAATTTTGGGATTGCCTCAATAACTCATTCGTAAAAAAAAAATGTTCCTGAACCTTTCAGTGTGTCGTTATCTTTACAGTATTGCTTATCATCTGAAGTTTCTTTTCTGTAATAACAAACACACAAAATAAAACAAAAAATATATTACCATTTTTTTTTATCTACCCTGTTTAACTAACTGTGACCGTTTTGTTGGGGACCATAAAGGGAAAAAGCATTTTTACGCATTTTTTCTATGTACCCGACACATATTAGAGGTCATTCCCATGTTTGGCTCAGTCATATGGAATGTGAGAGGGAAGGAAAAAAAAGTTAACAGTCGTTTTACGTGTTCGGAATGCCTTAGTGGGTTAGTAAATAAAATTCACAGAAAATTACATTTTGTCGGCTAACCAACACTGATAAGCTTTGACACAATAGTGTTGGTCAATATTCGTTCAAATTAACATCCACTGGGACTACCACTGTAAAAGCTTCATATGAGTGCAAGTTTAAAACGTTCAGCTCCAAATAGGGGTGTTCTATTATAAAAAGTATTTCGACTACAACGCACGCAATGCGATTAATGTTATTGTTTTTAAAAAAAAATGAGTAGCATATAGAGTTACCTACCTATTTGTGTTCAAAAATAATGAGATGTTATACATTTCTCGTTTGTCTTTGTAATGTTTAAATGAGATCTGAAGATTAGAAAACCATTATAGATGCTACAAAAGGAAATATTCATTACGAAGAAAACGACCGATGTTCCAACCGATGTACACTAATGCTTTTAAGTACTTTAATACATTACGGTTAGAGCTGTGTATGATTTATGTATGGAATAAATAAAATAAATGGAACAATTTATTATAAAATAAATGCCATTTTTCTTATTCTAAAGTTATATATATTCACAAATCACAGATGGATTATGATATATCATATTCATATAAAAATAAATATAAGAAAGCTTATACATTTTAATTCAATAATATAGTTGATTCACATATAAGAAATATTTAAAAAAAATTAATAAACGTTGTGTATGAAATCAAATAATAATATTACAAATATGTTCGTGTAAGTAATACGTTATGGATATTGAAAAATGAATGAAGATGTTTAAGTTATTTTTTAGAAATAACTAAAGTACATATAAAGTTTCAATTCAACGCACGTTGTCAAAAAATGAAACCATATACTTAACAGGCTATTGCAGGTAGTACTTGTATTTTCATATGGTATTATTTATTTAAACCATTTTGTTTTGTGTAAATAATTTATAAATGTGGTCGTTCTCGTTAAGACAGTGTATAAGGGTCATGGTTTATTCTTCTTTCTATTTTATTTCGGAGTAAAAAAAAAACATTATTTTCGATCTATTGAAAATGAGTTACATGTAAGATTCTAAAAAGTTTATAATGTTAACTCTAAAAACTAAAACAACTTTTTGAAACATAAAGGCACATGTTTTTCAAACATCTACGGCTTTTACAGACGTCATAAAAAAAGTTTCATAATATATTTATTATTATTACTAACCTAACTTACGCTACTTTCCGGTTATTCTTTGCGACAAAATTTAACAAGACATACCTACTTTGATAAATGGTCCAGAGTTTCAGGATGTTTTAAATAATCAATGTTTGAGGTACTGCATACACGGCCCAACCTATGAACAGTGAACACTTCGATTTCGCATAAATTTAAGTGGTAATCCACACGGAATGCTACATAATATTTCGGGAATTATGAGTATGTGTTCATTTCGTGGGTGTTTTTAGCTATCTGCACGAAATTTATTGCGCTTTAAAAGGATTTCTCTCGGACCCTTTAGCGAACCGAAATCCCTTAGGGGTATGTGCTTCAGTGTATATATGTACACATTTATACGGAAGCGCCCAATTCATGTGGAGTGTCTGGAAATTTTCCAAAATCGATATAAGTAAACTGAGCATTAAAAAAAAAAAGAAAAGATAGAGAGATGGAAAGAGAAAGAGATGAAGTGAAAGAAAGAGTGAGAGAGAAATATAGGGGTGGAGAAGCGCAAAAGAAAAAAAGAGATCAGTACAAAAGAAAAATAATGATGGTGACCGGAGATGAAAAAGGCAAAGCCGTATACAAAAGGGTTTACTCATGGATTTTGTAATCGATTAGAATAATAATAAAAAAAACACACAGGTCATTGTTCGGAAGATCGTGACACTTGGATAACATTTTTAAATAAACACAACACCAAATGTTTTAATATATTGTCTGTTTTATTAAAAAATAAAATCCATTTATTTTATTGATTTGTAAATAAATTATTATTGTTAATATTATTATAATTACTTACTTAGGTACTAAGAGCAGGGTAGTTATATACTTATAAACATATATTTATTTACACGCGTGATTAACCTTTGGTTCATTTCGATATTTATGTTCTTATTGTTATAAAGTAAGTACCTAGTTAATATATTTTAATTGATTATCTAGTGATTACCGTAAAATCTACCCAAATTTTGTATTCACATTATGTCTTATCTCGAATTACGCAATATATTTTTCTGGAATATATAAAAACAAGTTTTAAAATAATAATATGAGATACTTATATACTTTTATTTTTAACAAAGATATTATAAAAAAGACATTTACGAAGAAAATAGAAAATATCTCCCCTCCATAACTTATTGTATTAAAAAAATATACTTATATTATATGGTTAAATATTGTGTATTTCAAAATATAATGTCGCATAAAACTGTGCATTTAATTCATTATCGATTGCAACAACTTATTAAATAAATTTTATTATTTCTTGATGAAGTCAAATGTTAATAAAATAATATTTTATTGATATTCTATAAATTATATCAAACAAAATATGTATCAACAACATAAGCTGATTCACGACTATATTAGTAGATATATGATAAAAAAAAAAAAAACTATCATCTTTACAAACTGAACAGTGGCTTGTTTTTTGTAAAACAAAATATCTAGATGCGGGTAAATATTAAAATTTGAAATTTAAATTACAGCTAAATAAAAATTGTGGTAAATTATTCTTTTTTTTCTAGATATTTTCATCGTTTTTTAATTGTTCACACAAACAAATTGATTAAATTAATAACGACGCATTCGCATAGGTGCATCTGAGTCTTAGGCATTTTTTTTATTAATGTCCCTTTCCTTAATAACTAAATAGTTAATAAATCAGAAAATGATTACTCTTTCTCAGCTATATATTTTTAAACTCCAATAATAATTACCAGATACCTATAATTGAAATGTTTACTTAATACTCTAATAAAATAATGATACATAACACGTTTTATCAATTTATGGTAAATGATTGTACCTATTGTATGAAAAATTAAATTAAAATTAAGAGTCTCTATAGTCGGCTTTAACAAAAATATAAACATTTTCAGAATATGTAGGTATAAGTTATAACTATAAACTAATAATATATTGTATTACATGATATACCAAAATGTATCTTTTAAAATGAAAAGCAATAAAATTAATGAGGTAATGACAATTAGAGAGAACAACTATACAATTGCATATTTTATAAAATAATACCTTTATATAGGTATTTGTGTGTTAAATAATTCATTATTTGTTTAATAAAAAAAAAAAAATTCATAATATTTATGACATATTATATTATTTTGTATCAAATACCAATATTGTAATTCGCCCATAATTATCATTTAATTAATACAATATAAAGGTTTTGAAAAAAAAACAGCAGTACAGTGCGCAGAAAGTATAAAATCTTCAAATACTAATCATTATGTTCTATATTTTTCTACTTTTCTAAATACGTCATTCTCGCAGAAAACTGTTATATAAATTGTAAGTGAAGATTTATTATTAAAGACAAGATGGACTTATAATAGGTACGTAAACACAAACACAGTTTTCCCATAGGACTTTCTAAATCTGTAGTTCCAGGTAGTATTTACTGAGTGTTTTCAACTCTGGGTGAGCACATAAATATTATATAATATTAAATAGTATGTACTTTTAACGTCTATTCACTTTGTCCGAGTTGACCGCGTAACCATACGAGCATCCAAAATTGGCGGCGGCTTTTATCAATTTCTGCAGGTTAGTATTGACCGAACAACCACATTGATTACAAACATTGTGTGGATATTTGCACAGCATATTAAGTTCACTCGACGACATGGACGGCCCGGAACCGGCGCCGGAGAGACGGGTGGTCTTTTTGCAAGAATTCCGCAAGTTGGTTATCTATAAATATGAAAGAACGTCAGTGAATGACTTTCGATAGACATCAACTTTTAATATTTTATCGATGGTCCGATCAGGAAGAGGTTATGGATTTATCGCGTTTGAATAAATAAAGATAAAACGAATAAGTTTCGAAATGTGATTACGATATTATGTAACAATAAAATTGTATAAAGATAGCTGGTGGTGTACTTTAGTATAAGGTACTATGTCTATATACTGGTTAGGTATATACCTATTTAAACTTATTCGACCATTTTACAAAAAACAACGTAAATTGTCTCCGACGTAATTTCGTTCGATCTAAATTATCAACAATCGCGATAAAACACAACAAAGTTTCGACACCCGAATGCTTTTACTCGGTATAATGCCCGCGTATATGTGTCAAATCGATTTTAATTTTAACCGGTCGTTTAAAGCAGCTGCCAGGAGCAAGCGGGACGCGCATATACAATGAACGAGTGAGAAAATCGGAATATTGACCTGACGAGGTCTACAGCAAGCACTCCGTAAGTCATCAAGTGCTCGGATTACTGACTTAAACAGCTTCTGCAACCAATAGGCGTCCGCACACCCCATGTCGTTGTCCGACCGGGCCAATAAGTCTAATATTTCACGTACTCGTCCGCCCACCATCCGCACACACACGTCAGCCGGCAGAGTGTCTGACATGTCAGCAGCCGACTTAGAACCACTTCCACTAGATTTCTGGTCCGCTGCAACGTGCGATAGAAAAACAAAATGAAAGTTAACATGCTAAACCGCTGTTATGTGGTCAAAGCTCACTGCGTTCCTCATCATCAAAGCTCTACTCCGACCCCCACCCACAATAGACGCACCGAAATGATTTCGATTTAACTGTTTCAGCATTTCGAGCGCAAAAGTTTTAAATTAAAAATGAAACTTTCTCTGAAAGATACGATAGTTGTTCGTTCACTTGGTCGGTTGGTGAAAAGAAAATGTTTGCTCTTTGGGCCTTGAGATTCATCCATAATAATGTGCCTCACCACTAACTGGCGTTAAAAAACGAAAGCGTCCATCGAGTGTTAATACAAAAAGTTTCGTTCCCAGTGCACCCAAAAGTTAATTGGATGGCATTCTTTGCTAACGAAATCCTTCTAGCGTTATTTAAATTATTTTAATAAAGGGTTATTTCTATCTATGGCAACACATCTTAATAAGTAATAACAAAAAGTCAAAACGTATATTATGAGTGCTTCAATATTACTTTTTTTTTAACATGACGTTCTCATTTTGTGAAATGAATACGAAATTAAATTGCATAATTTAGTATAAATAAATATTTGTTGTAAGCTATCAATAAAAATAATCATAGAACAACTAATATTGTTGTGGACCATGGTTATAGATGGAAATATAGATGGAAATTGCCCATTGACCCATGATTCCAATACATTAAAAGTGTCTACCGAAATGAATCTCTATAATCAGTATTTAAGTTAAGTTAAACAGCTGGAGATTTAAGAGAGCATTTAAAAGGTAACTTAATTTATACTATCACTACAACAAATAAGCGCTAGTGCCGAAATCTCCTACTGATTATTTAGATTCATTTCGGTAGACACTTTTCAAGATTCGTCGGCAACCATACTATCTTTAATCGTGGTTTGGACTATTGATAAACATTGCGTATTGAATGCATATCTGTGCACTCCATATTATTATAATTCAATAAACTCTTTATAATCGTTTCAGTGTTTCATATAATATTATTAAATAAAAAATGATTTCACTCGTAGCCCGTAGGTATATAATAAATTAAGGTAAATGTTAGCTATCAATTAATAACTACAAATTTTAATACGATTTTGTGGATCCGATTTCAATTTTGAATTTGTATATAATTTATAGCATTATATTATACCTATATATAGTATTAACCTAAATAAATAAATGTAAAATAAACGGACAATATCCCATTAGGTATAAACTAAATATAGTCCTCCTATTGAAACTCAGCTTAGCACTACCTAATATTATTCTAGCATGAAGAATATTATGCATAGTAAGTAATTACATAATATCATACGTAAACCATTTTACATTCATTGACGATCATATTATTATTAGTGGATATCACTGAATTATGTAATGGTTAATTGAACCAATGAGTATTAAAACTTGAATACTAAACAGGTCAGAATAATGGAATTTTAAAGCACAATATTGATGTAGGAACCCGCATACATAATTATACATGAACCTAATTTATAATATATTAACAATCGACATGAGGATTATAAATAGTTTTACACAATTTAATCGTGTATACATAATAGTTTACCATTGTCACAGAGCGTTTTACATTTAGTAATCGTATTCCGGATGTTTATATCAGAGTTCCCAACAAACGATTTCGTACTGGCTTGTTCTAAAATATTGTCACAAACTCAAGTAAATTGTGATTATATCAATAAGGTTGGTTTATTAAATAAATATTTTTTCAATACTTGTTTGAGGAGCTTTGTGTTTTTTTACGTAGCTCGATCCATCAAAATAAGTCAAACGAACTGACGTTTTACTGTTTCCGTGAAACTTCTGAAGTAAAGCTGAAATAAATTATAATGAACGTAATTGTTGTTAGAGTTCAATAACTCAACAATGCGAGAATCACTGGAGTAAAAATAATTTAAGTTTAATGTTGATAATATGTTCGGCAAATTTATTACTAGAATTAGAATTTATGTCTTCATTAGTGTGGCACGATACGTCATGATCAGCAATGCATTGTTTCCGAGAACACATAATTTGTTGGAAATATTTTTAAAACTATACAAATTGTTTAAATTATTAAAGCATAATAATCATAATTTGATATTTTGATACCAAAAAAAAATTTACTCAGCATTATTATAATATTATATTTATTTATTTCGTTTCCATAAAAACTCGTTGTATTCAAAATGCTTGTTATTGACTATTAATGATAGTAAACGAATTTAAAAATTCAAAACATATTATATAATATATTGTCCATAGGCATATTAGGCACATGCAACTTAGAGTTTAGGTAAAACTATACTAGGTAAATATACAGAGTGTATATCTCATGTCATTGTAAGCTGGGTTTTTTAACGATTTTTTAACGATTATAAGTGTTTCTTTATTTTTAACAGGCAATTTTTTTATAACAATTTCAACATTTTTAAACACGCAGATGTACCAATAGCAAAATTAACTTTTTTTTTTAAAAAAAAAAGTAAACACTATATTTTTTAATGAATTCTGGTAAAGCTTTTTTTCCTGAAAATTTTAGTAGTCAAATCATCAATTTTGGTTCACTAGCTTATTAACTATGGTCCTCCAAAGATTAGTAAAATATGCAATAATACTTTTAATTGAAATAATTTATATAGGTTTAATTTACAAGAGCTAAACAATATATTCTTATAACTACCTTTTGATACATTTAAATAGTTGAATCCATGACACGCTCAGGAAAAAAAATAACATAAACAAAATTGTTGGCAAACATAATTCATAATTTTTATTTTAACATGTTATGATCATAAAAATCAATATTATTATTTTACTTTATAATATAAGGATTTTAAGTTCAAATATTTACAAAACACGGAAAAATCACGAAAATTATCAAATTATTTTGAGTTAAGAATTCATAAAAATTTTTCTTTTTAAATCTAAGATATCAAAATACACAAGACTCCTTATAAGTTTTTCTACTTTTATCAAAAAAAAAAAAAAAATTCAATAAGAAAGTCAAGGTAAATTTTTATAAGCGTTTAAAATTCAAATGTTTACAACTCGATTTCTCATGTAACGATTTCTTTATTTTGTTGTAATTCAAAAACGAATAACTGTACATGAAAATTTCACTGAATATCTATATTAGCATTTCCTATACACCATACAATTTTGAAATACAAGGTTCCTGATATATTGTTACATATATCAGTTGAAAAATATTAGAAATACATAGGCACAATTTTTTTTCATAAGAATTTAAAGATCGAATTTTGATAAAATTTATCAAATTTAAAATTGAATAATTATTTCGTAGTTAAAAATTTATAAAAAATTCAAATTTTATATCTCAGAATTGAAAATTTAAAACAAGATTCCACGTAAGTAGTTAATTCTGTTACCAAAAAATCTAAAAAAATACATAAGCACAGTTCTTTTTATAGTCATTTTAAGTTCGAATTTGGACGAAATTACATAATAAAAAACCTAGAATAACTATTTTAGTTATTTTGTTGTAATTTTATAATATTATTCGTGGGTACTTGAAACTTCTAAAGTACACTATTATATATCTATGATGGTATCAGGGTTTGTTGTTGATGTATAACGCGTTATAAGTACCTAATGGATATTGGGATATGATTAATTTGGAATTTATTATAGGTACCTATTATAGGTCAATTTTTTTAATGCCATAGAATCGTTTTTCTTATACAATGATATGATTTCAATGAATTTAAATTTAATAAAATCTATTATACAGTGACCCACTTGTAACCTAGTGTACAGCAGAGCAACTTTTTTTATTTAAATATGATTTTTCATTGAACATTAAATGTACATAGATGTGCCTATATACCTATGTGCCTATACCTCTAAAATTTAATTTCCTGCATATTTAATTACATGTATTTCAATTTGATTTTATGATAGAACGATGATTAATATGAATTATTTTCAAAATGTAAAAATATTTAAATATAGATACCTAACAAATAAAAAAAATATTCGCTTTTCTGTCAAGTGTACCTCCCCATTAGGTAGGTCACTGAAAATCATTGAATTCTGAAAATAGTTCTTAGTGGAGACTGACTGACAGCCATACTACTAAGGTTATGTTTTTTGTTTTTATTATGTAGGTATTCATAATGCTATTATTTAGTTAATTTATTTTACTACTAGAAATACAATAGGTTGAATTAATGTCTGCGAAAATATTTGTTATGTTATATTAATTATCATAGTAGTAAAAAGCCTCAAATCTTAATATAATATGTAATATTGATTCTAAAATAAATGTATTATAGTTGGATAATTTCGAGAAATTATAATTGTTGATAGATTAATATTAATTACCATCGTTTTAAAATTACCAAGATAGCTCCTATATCTACCAAACCCAGTATCATAGAATTATTATCCTTATTACACAAAGTTAAATAACTCAAAAATGATTCTTTTGAATTTTTATTTTGATAAGTATTAAGTACATCATAATTATCAAAAAAATCATCCAATAAATAATTAACAATAGAAAAGGGGGTTCTCATTTGAAAAAAAAAAAAGATCTTTGTCTAACAACAGAACACTTCTTGCGTGGTGCAAAAAACCTTAAAAGTTTAAAAATATGGTCCTTAAGTATATTTAAAAACTCCAAAAATCATATTTTGAATAACTGCATTATTGATGAAGAAAATAGGTTGAGCATGTTTGGTGAATCACTCTGTATACTATGTATTTGGTGAGAAACATAATGCTCTAAATGTATTCATTTTTTAATTACAACAAATACACAATTAAATATACCTTGATACTATATTAGCTAGTATTTTAAGGAAATTATTGAGCCAAATATAATTATAATTAAGCAGGTACATCATAATTCTTAATATATGTTTCATGGAATACTTGTTAAGTTTCTGTGTTTGCTGCTATGCTTTAATTAATCAAATAGTTTCACATGCAAATACCTCGGATCCATTTAATTTAAACAAATATTTTACTATTTTTTATTGTTTTCCATGGAACTATTAAAAGTTCACTACATATTATTATATTCACACAAAGGTTCGATATAGGTGCATAGGCTTTGAACATTTGTACCTATGTTAATCTATAATTAATATATTAAATTGTTCAGTTGAAATTTAAAGTAATTATTGTTATGACTTACACCTAATATTATTGATTCAATTATTTATTATGAAGAATCTATTCAATGTTAATATATTTAAAGTGATAAGTCTTAACGGTGCAATTACTTAAATTATTATTATGATTTTTTTTTGGTTTGGTTAAACTTATAATCGTCATTAATAATAATTTTATTTGAATAAAAGGTTCTAAGCCGTACCATTAAAATGTACGTCAAATATTGGTTTAATCAAGGAGGTAAAACGAATCCCTTCATTCATCACGATATCCGATATTCCCATTAAGTAATTGAATGTGCGTATTAACTACATCTCCATATCATATTCGCGTAAATAAAATAATATATTCAAACGATTGATTGGCTGGATAAACTGAGTAATCTAAAATAAGACATATACATTTAATTTTTTTGTTCCATTGTTTTTAATCGTATAATACTCAAATACTCCATGTTCAAACTATAGTTTTCTCAGAACACACTTTTTAGCATTGTCACTCTGGCTGACAAATCGTTCTGAAATGTGCAGTACACCAGTCACCAGTTAAACGGCTTATGACCCATAGTCATAATATCTGATTCATGTATTCTTATTCGTTCAACATATTTTGTTTTGTTAAAGGCCAATCAAATAGCATAACACTCTTTTCATGGGCTCCGAGCACGTAGGTATTAACGAAAATGTAAAATATTTTTTGGCTTAAGCTACTGCAGAACTTATCGATTTATAATCTGTATAGTAAACGAAATTCTTTTACTTTTCCTCACATATTATAATATTATAACTTAACCTTTTTTCACTTCACCTAATTTATGAAACATAAAAAAAATGGAGAAATCAGACAACCAGAGTGCATTCTGTTGTGCAGTAGGTAAATACCTATCGAATGAGCACCGATTCACTTTTCTGTCAGAAAAAATTTTAAAGTTGAAAATCAATGCCTGTTTTTTACTGTAAACCATAATAAATACACATAAAAAAAAACTCACACCATTGTGTAAAATCAATTAATAGCTCCATTTAACATGTAAAAAAAATATTATATAATATCATATTATAATATTAAATCGAAAATTAAAATATTTTGGTATTAACTATTCTAATAGTATTAATGTATTAGTGTATGGATTTAGTTCCGGGTCTGTTGTATCTGGATAAAGATCACATACCGTATTATAACTGGGAACTATAATATAATATAGAATTATATAAATCCGACCACGACTCTATTAATATTATCCTCGTTGCGCCGTTGAAATTATAATAATACCACCTACCAGATTTAATAACCATATCAAACTATACATCGATGGGCTGATAAATTAATTTTTTTTAATTATATACCACCCTACCTACCTTCATGTTTATTTGGTTGTGCACTCCATAGTTTTTTTTTTTTGTTTTTAAATTATAATATCATATACCTAACAAGTAAATAATTGTATACGTACACTACGGTAACGATGAAAATTTTTTAATTTATCATTTCATAAATTCTATTTTATAATGACTTCCACGGCGGCCGCGGCAGTCGTTATAATTATTTATTTGTTCACCCGTAAATTTATATTCAAGTGAAACTGATCCGGTAAATTCTTTCCCCCCTGGGTCTCGTTCATTGTTTTCCGAACTTCCTGAGAGGCACTCACTAATACCCGACTTCAGAGGAGTATACAGTCTAATACTGCACAACGAGTTCGTTATTTGAATGTTTACATTTTAGCGTTTAAGCAATATAGAATATCGCCACGTTATCTACACAGTTTACCGTTGTTTTACGTTTCACAAAAGGCCGGGGAAACTAGGTCGTTTTAGATAAGGGCTCAGTAACGTCTATATACCCAAACGTAACGTATGTATGTGTGATATGTATATGTATGTATGTAT